GTGAGAGCTCTCAAGGATTGGCAACTGATTTCAGGTTTTTTAGAACATGATGCAGGCTGAACACATCTGAGAGCCATAAATGGCCTAAGGTTTGCCTATTTACAGTCTCAATTAGATGATCTCAGTTCCCTTTCAACTCCAATATTCTGTGAGTTTCATTGTGACCTACAGATACTATGCTCAAGTGGTTCTTAGCAAAACAGAAATAATAGTTTGTCTTTGATTTTTTTTAAAAATCCCAGACCCCGGGGCTTATACTATTGTTAGAAGTAGCTTCTAACTTTTTTCACATTAAAATTTTTGAAAATCTTAAAGCCCAAGCCTCACCCAAGACCAATTAAATCATGATGTCTGGGAGCAGTGATAGACGTATTTTAAGTTCCCCAGGTCATTTCAGTGTGCAGGCAATTGGGCACCACTGGCTTAGGCCTTTATAGCCTAGCCACCTTAGAAAGTTTTGACCAGCTTATTGCCATCCCCTCCAAATTTCTACCCACCCCCATCTCATTTAATCTGATCCTATTAGTGTGCTCATGGGTTATCACCTCTTCTAGATAGAATTCTTTAAAGAAAGGAAACTGGTCACTGGGGCAGGTTCCTATCCATCATCTCATGATCCCCAAACTGAGGTTGTCCTTAGTTAATAATTGAGTCAGCAGAGAGCAGTCTGACCCAACCCCAAAAGCCATATGCTAGTGATTCTACAGTTCCCTCCAACAAAGTGGCAAAGAACAAGTTCAAGTTCCAGGTGTTTTACTTCATTTTTCTTTTATTACAGATGAGTACGTTTGGAAAAACAGATTCTGGTTGCATTTAGCTATATAAGTGTATTGTGCCTATCCTCTGAGCTCTTGGTGAAAGGAGATTATCTGAATTATTTTTATGTTTGCATTATTCCCAGTTTAGACATATACTAAATATTGCATTAATGAATGGAAAATGGACAGTTACAGATTGAGGTTCCAGACACTTCCTTCAAAATAAGTCATCATATCCCTAGAAGATTAAATGAATTTCCCTTAATATTTTTAAAAGTCTTGTCAATAATTCTGTCAGTTGTTTTTAAAACATCAAAGGAAATTAAAACACCTGGCTTTTTTATCAATGCAGAATTTTTTGTCTTTGACTTACACTGACAAATGTTGTCCATTGTAGAAGAGGTATTGATGACTGCCTAAAGTGATGATCATGACATTTGGATAACCAGTTGATCTGTAGCATTCCTTCCAGTTCTCGAATGAATGGTGGGTTATATATCAGCCTATGTAACACATATACCATGTCCCTGCATAAGGGACAGTGCATCTCTAATATGCATTGCACTTTTGTTCAACACCGATTTAACAGTATTTAACAGAACTTTAACAACTGTTGAGCAAAATTATTTAATGTGAAGCATTAGAAAAACATAGTCTTAGCAACCCCCCAAAGTGATGCAATATAGGCAGCCTTTGGTTTTTTAAAGCAAGACGGGAGTGTCTGGCTGTGGGTCATAATAGGTGCCTTTCAACACTGTGGAGTTCATTGTTGAAGGCAGAAGTAATGGAGGAGACAAGGCATACACTTCAGGGCTCCCACAAAAGGAATTGTGGAATGAGAATTTCAAACACAACATAATGACAGCAATACCAAAAATCAGAGTATTTGTCTAGGATCCTTGTGCAGAGAAAGAATTGTGAAGCTAATAAGGTACAGAGCGTTCACCACTAGCAATTTTAACAGGCCAAACTCGGGCACATCCTCTGCAGGAGGGGCTCCTCAGGAAAGCATCAGGGCTACCTTAATACTGGAGAAGCAGAGTGGTAGGCCACCAGGGGTGCTGTGAGCAGCACTACTTAAAAGGAGAGGCTCAGGAGCAGACGTGTCCTCAGGCTTGCCTGAAACCATACTTGCATGGCTATAAACATCCTTGACTCAGAAAGGTTTTTCAACTTTGGTTTTTATAAAAATGGCAGGCCCTGACTGAATATACTTTAAAAGTAAAAAGCCTTTGGGGCGCCTGGGTGGCTCAGTCGTTAAGCGTCTGCCTTCGGTTCAGGTCATGATCCCCGGGTCCTGGGATCGAGCCCCGCATCGGGCTCCCTGCTCGGCAGAAGCCTGCTTCTCCCTCTCCCACTCCCCCTGCATGTGTTCCCTCTCTCGCTGTGTCTTTCTCTGTCAAATAAATAAAATATTTTTAAAAAAAAAGTAAAAAGCCCTTAAAGTATGAGTAATGACTCAATTTTACAAATAAAAGGATTTTCTTAGTGCTCAGACTTCCAGAGAAACAAAATGGTCAACAGATGTTGACCTTCTCTGTCCCTCTAATAATGGCACTGACAAACAGGAAATAATGAATTAGAGTAAAAGGAAAACACTTATGTAATAATACAAGGAAAGTCTATTAGTATATAATAAAGGAGTCCTTGTTTTTTAACAAGTATTTTTTGTTAACAACAACCAAATCCTTGTTTGACAGAGCATGTGGCCCTAGTGGCCGGACTCTGAAACTAAGCATGACTGACCTAAGAGGCTAATTTGGGAGAATCTGAAGTATCTGTGGCTACTTCTACCTTAATTCTTGATCCCAAATGAAGTGACATCACATACCACAGCACACAGGGAAAATAGATACTGAATTAGTATGAAAAGAAGTTTAAAGACAGCAAAAAGAAATAGCATTTTATTTCTGTAAGGGAGTTTGAGAAGTGCCCAAGAATTACAGCCAAGTTCATGAATGAGGTAGATCTAATAGGCATTTACACCTTAAATAATTTCAGTTATAACCATCAAATGAATTGCTTAGATGCTGTGGTTAAGAAAATTGTACAAAATTAAGCAAATTGTTTAAAAGAAACATCTAAAGTTTAAAAGTATTAAATATAGCAGGTAGAATAGATGTAGTAACAACTTGGTGCTATTTCTAACAAAGTATTTCTTTCATATATTATTCCTAAATGTGAGCAAAGCGATCACAAATGAAGATGAGAAGCAGTTATAAAGATTGGGCATGGTTACTTGCAGTCAGCTCTATTATAAAGAATAGATTCTGTTGAAATACACCATCTTGCAGCAAGATTCTGTCAATGAGAATTTCATTGCAGCTGTCAAAGGTATGTATCTGTAGTACAGAGAACAGAGAAAACTGAATCCAGGAGGCCACTGTGACTTTGCACATATTACCACAGCTCTCGGCCTCAATTTCATCATCCATAAAACCAAGGGGGTTAACAGAAGCCAGACCTCTAAAATCCCACCTGTAAAAATCTCATCTCCTGAAATTTACATAGAACGATTGCTGTTGGAAACTCCATTCCCATCAACCTTAATATCAGGGACAATGGATAAAGTAGGAGATGACCACTGGCTCCCTTGGGCAACCTGGCCTTTTAAACCAAAGACCAAAATCCACTTCCTGAAACTCTACCACTTTCCTCCGTTCTCCCTCACCTTTAGTTCCTTAGGCCAATGGTTAGTCCCTTAGTCCCTTTGGAACTAGCCTCAGAGCATCTCGTCTATAGATTTATAGTTTTATGATGAGAAATGAACCAGAGAGGGCAAGTGACTTGCCTGGAATACCAGAGCTAGTCAATGACAAAGCCAGGACAAGAATCCAAGGTCAGTTGTTCCTGACACCAGTGTTCTTTCCCCTAAATCATACCACCTACCTGTCTTTCACTCCTGACAAAAAGTAAAACAAAAGCATGGGAATAGGGGTGGGGAGAGCATCTATTTAGATAATACCAGTGAGAAGTAGAAGTTATTTTATGTCAAAAATGTAAATATGGATGTGAAGGCATCATGCTCCTGTTTCAAACTATATTACAAAGCTGTCATCATCAAGACAGTATGGTACTGGCATAAACACAGACACACAGATCAATGGAACAGAATAAAGAGCCCAGAAATAAACGCTTGCATTTATGATCAATTAATTTATAACAAAGGAGGCAAGAATACACAGTGGGGAAAGGACAGTCTCTTCAATAAATGGTGTTGGGAAAACTGAAGAGCCACATGGAAAAGAATGAAACTGGACCACGATCTTACGCCATACACAAAAAATGAACTCAAAATGGATTAAAGACTTAAATATAAGACCAGAAGCCATAAAACTCCTAGAAGAAAACATAGGCAATAAGTTTCTTGACATCACTCTTGGCTATATTTTCTTAGATCTGACTCCAGTAGCAATGGCAATAAAAACCAAAATAAACAAATGAAACGATATCAAACTAAAAAGCTTCTGTACAGCAAAGGAAACCATCAACAAAATAAAAAGGCACCCTACTGAATGGGAGAAGATATTTGCAAATCATAAATATGGTAAGGGGTTAATACCCAAATTATAAAAAGAACTATAACTCAGTAACAAAACACATTCTGATTTAAAAAATGGGCAAAGGACCTGAACAGACATTTTTCCAAAGACATACAGATGGCCAACAGGCACATTAAAAGATGCTCAGCATCAGTAATTACCAGAGAAATGCAACTCAAAACCATGAGCTATATCATCTTGCATCTGTCAGGATGGTGATTATCAAAAAGATAAGAAATACCAAGTGTTGGTGAGGATGTAGAGAAAAGGGAACTATTGTGCACTATCGGTGGGAATGTATACTGGTGCAGCCATAAGGGAAAACAGTATGAAGGTTCCTCAAAAAACTAAAAATGGAACTGCCATGTGATCCAGCAAGTCTACTTCCAGGTATCTGAAGAAAATGAAAGCACTAATTCGAAAAGGTACATGCACCCATATGTTCACTGCAGCATCATTCACAATACCCAAGATAAGGAAACAGCCCAAGTGCCCGCTGACAGATGAGTGGGTAAAGAAGATGCACACAACCCCCCTCCACACACACACAAAGGAATACCACCTCAGCCATAAAAAAGAATGAAATCTTGCCATTTGTGACATGGATGGACCCTGTGGGTACTATGGCTAAGTGAAATAAGTCAGAGAAAGACAAATACCATATGGTTTCACTTATATGTAGACTCTAAAACAAGCAAGAAGAAACAACAAAACTCACAGATGCAGAGAACAGACTGGTGGTTGCCAGAGCGGGGGAGCAGGGAGGGTGGGCAAGACAGAAGAAGGGGGTCATAAAATAAACAAGTCATATCATGGGATGTAATGTTCAGCATGGTGACTAGAATCAATAACACCAAGTTGCATGTTAGTTAACTTTATATGGTGACAGGAGGAAACTAGACTCATTGTGGTGATCATTTTGTAGTGTATACAAATATCAAGTCATTGTGTTGTACACCTGAAGCTAATACAATGTTTTGTGTCAGCTATACAACAACAAATATAGATGTGATACTAAATGTTAATACCTGAAAAGATCAGCTTAGCAAGTGCATGACAGACTCAATCAACCACATTTTAATAATCACTGCCCAAGGCCTTTGAAGGTAAAGAAAGCTGTCAGGCTGAGGGAAGGGGAGGCAGAATGCTTTGGATAACATGAAAGATTAAGACAAGGTTGTTGGAAAGTGACTAAATTCCCTACACCAAGGAAAATCAATCCAAGGAGCTAATGTACAGAGACAAAGATGGTATAATTTTGCCTAGAGTTAACTGCAACTTAAATCAACGTAATGCCATATACGTAGGTACGATACATATTTTCATTATGTCCTAGTGACAAGAATTCAGAGAAAAGTGATGGGTTGTGCCATCATCGTAAGACTAATAAAGCATCACATCCTATCAGCCACTGACTCTGATTTTGACATTTGTGGCCTGTCTCACTAATGATAAAAGTACTACAACCATTTGCATTCATTTTGCTGTTATCAAGAAGACTGGTTGGTAAGATTCAAAGGAACTGCTGGGATGTGAATTTAAATGAAATCGTATCTTCACAGGGAAACCATTGAAAATGCAGAAATACAAACACAGATCTTTAAAAAAATCTTAAAAAATCTTTAAAGAGGGTTAAAGACAAGATTGATTCCATTTGCAAGACGATTATGAGAAAGCAATATAAGTAATTGGCCTTCAAAGAATAAATGGCTTCTGTCTCTAGCTAATGAGATTTCATTTAAAACTGTTAATTGGGAGCAATGAAAGAAGAACAGAAACCAACACCGACAGGAAATACTCAGTTTTTCTGAGGAATATGATAAAAATTTGTCCTTCTTATATTTATACCATGGAACTCTGAAAAGTCATACAGTAACAAAGACAAGCCTAGATCCTATAATATTAAAATAATAAACAGGATGTAATACACTAAACAAAAACTCAAGAACTAATTAAAATAAATTAAGAATAAGAAATACATTTACACTGAAAAAATGATAAGCATAGGATATCCTGAGTTTCTCAATTATAAAAAGAACACAAAAAAGTAATACCCATCTGAAAGGCTGTCATAATGATTAAATAATATACATAAAATTCTTAAGAGTGTGTGGTACACAGTAAATGCTTAACAAATGGCAGCTATCATTATTATAACCAGGAAGAAGAATAACTTCATTAATAAGAGCTTTCAAACTGGATTCATCACCTCCTCCTTGCTTCAGCTTCATTTCGAGCACACGAATGTGATCACTAATAGCCAATTAGGTAGCTTTTGACCAGATCACTGACCAGATCTCACAAGAAAACCAAAAATAGTATTTGGAAACCAAGATGAGGGAAAAAGAAAGAGTACCTGAGGAGGCACTGGCTAGCAAAAAACATATTCTGACATTATTTATAAGCAGCACTCATATGGCGAAGGTTCACTCACAGTGATACAAAGGTAAGAAGTCAAAGAAAATCAACGCAATTTAGAAGTCTTAAAGAGTAAAGGAAATTGCTGTGACATAAAGCCCTAATGAAAAGTAAAAATATTTCCAGAGGGAGCTATAAGACCCTTTGCTAGATCCATTTTTATCTAATTTGAAAACAATTTAAGACTCATATCTTTTCACCTACCAACTAAGAGTATACTTATTTTCATCTCAGTTTATTTCTAGGAGGATCTTGATTTTTCTCTGTTTTATGAAGCATTTAATTCCTTTCTGATCCCACTATGGAATTTATGTTTTAATAATTCTGCTTTTTTCCCCATTAAAGTCAGCCCTAAAAATAAAGTGACAAAAAGGAAAACAAAGCTACTGCAAGTCTGGGAGCATATTCTTGGGAGGGACATTCAAGGCTACATGTAGCAAAGGATAAAGCATGAGGACGATCCCACTGGGGAAGGTGCAGGTTAAAGGCTACATGTAGGAGAGGAACGGGGCTCCTGAAGGGCAATGGATGAAATGTAATCATAGGGCTTTTCTCTCTCCTCATTAATGGAAATGCACTCTACGACTGAGCAATCTCTTAACAAAGGTTCTGAAAGTTGCCAGGTGGCTTATTAACAGATTTACCTATGTATTCCTAAGTTTAGAATTTGCTTCTTTTCAGACATTCCAAGAGTCATATTAAGAAAATTTCTATTTCTCAGGAAAACATTAATAAATAAGAGCCTGGGTTTTATTGCCTTTGCCCACTCTCCTGATACTGTTCTTTCCTTCTTTAAAAACAACCCAAATATATGCCTTCCCAAACTATGTATTAAACTATGTATTGATCTTAGTGAAATAAAGGAACTCTTTTTATATTTTCTTGTAAAGGGGCTCATAAAAATAGGCCTAGAGACAGTGACTTAAAACCAGACAAATCCAGATCTCCAATCCCATCAGTTTCTCCATCCTACAAACACACTTAAGGCTCAAAAAGAAAAATTAATGCCCAAACAGCCAGTGAAGCACATAGACACAGAAACATTTTCTATCCTGGTCACACCAGGTATTACATAAGATACTGTCAAAGTCTTTGATCATTCACTTAGAAGGGATTCTAACCTTTTAAAATCACATGCTAATTAATTAACATCAGCAACATTATGTCAGGGATATTGGACCACACTCATAATGACTTCTTTGTCAAGTAAGCAAAGAAACTATGTTTTGTTTGCCTGGAAGTTCATGTCTGTTCCACTGAAATGCAAATATCTTGGATCCCTACTAAAGGGTGTGGATGTCCACATAAATGATATCTCTGTTACAGAGAAAGAAGTGGCTGCTGCACTTGCTGGAATGTCTTCGGCTTTGTTATCAGATGCTCCAGTTTGGTTATAACCAGGCTTCCAGTTTGCCCAATGCCAAACTTCATGCTTTAGCAAGGGGAGAAAAATCTAGATGCCAGGACCACACCAGACCTTTTGGATAAAGGGGTAGGAGCATGCTTCAACTGGATTAAGGTTGGTCCTCTTTGTTAGCACCAAACTCTCATTATTTAGTTCTTCACAGACTAAATTACAGCTTCTCCCAGAGAAGAGGACCTAGATATTGAAAAGGAATTAAAGTAGATATTAAGGTAGAAATTCCAAGGCCAAATATCCCAAGGTCAGGCAGAGCAGCATCTGAGGCCAGTACAAGAAAGTGGTGGAATTCAATGGGCAGCAACTCTGGGGTATTCAAGCTCCCCAAGTCCTTGTCCGGCCTCACGGCCCTACCTGTACCCCAATCATGGGCACCACCTCCTCAATCCACAGCAAGTCCAGTGGAGCCGAGGTTCGAGTTTGTCGGTGGTGAATTCGGCGTAGCCGCAGAAGGTACAGGATGATGGCCAGTAGCACCACCAGGATACAGGCGAAGAAGAGATAGTGGTTGTAGACAAAGGAGAGGCGGAACCAGCCGCCATGGGCCTGCCGAACACCTTCTTGCCGCAGATCCCTAGGAAGAGTTGGAAGGTGGAAAGTCATGTTAATTTCAAAGAGAAACAGTTATGTTGATTTAAAAGGCCAGCAGTGTTATCTCATTTATTCTATTCATGCAAATATGCTAGGATACCAGCTCCACAGGGCAAGCAAAGCTAAAGAATGTCTCCAGCCCGAGGGCCGCTATGTGATTCCTCCTGTACCTTCTCTGCCAGGGCCTACAGAGGAAGCCTCACAGGCCTACATCCTCCAGGATCTGGGGACAGAATTAGAAGGCAAAAAAATGAACAGTAAAACTGATCATCTATAACCTTAGTCTTAACATTGACCCCATACCATTCTGTAAATACATACATCCAGTCTGTAAATACGGTACTAACAAGAATAGGGTGGCCCCTAAATCCAATCAAGACATCAGAGTGTATCTAAATCTTTGAAAAAAAAATTGACCTGTGCTTCCTGAGGATTTAGGCTATATCTAGAGAAATCTGTCACCTGGTCAGTAGTACTGTAGTCTGGAAAAAAGTAAGGAGACCTGTAAGCCAAAGTGCAGCAGCCTGCATGCATAGAATGAAGCCGCTCTTTGGTCCAGACACCAGATCCATTTTTGTTTTGTTTGACCTGCAGTGTTTTCTTAAAATGTGAATCTCCAAACTGAAAGCCTGCCTATGACATATGGACTTCCGGCTTGTCCTGGCAAATGCTGGTACAGCATTTCTGCACGGCAGTCCTCAGCCCTCCATCCGGAGTGCATACTCTCTAGCTCCCCACTTCTCTCACCTCTCTCTTCTGAGGTTAGACAAACAGGCAGCAAAGATTAAAAACTCATTTTAGTGTATCTGAAACAATCCAGGGGAGAGATAACCTAAAACTTCTCCCAAATATCTTATGGTACATAGAACAAGATGTCAGGCTTATCACAGCTTGATGACAATACCCCCCCTAAGGGCATCTCATGTGCTGTGTTCTAATTCTGGCCCACCAAAAAGCCTTCTAAATCAATGACATGATCTCTAGAGTGACTCTCCCATTAGGGAAGACTGCTCTATACACACAGCCTACCCCAGTTCTCTAGTCTGATGTTTTCTACAGTAACCGAAGAATGGCATTTTAGTTTTATTTTAGTTTACCACTCAGTATCTTAGAACTAGTTAAGTAACAGCTCAATCCTAAAGACTGATTTATTATGGATAAATAAAACTGAATTCCTGAATGCAAAGCTAAAGAACAGACACCGGATTAAATTCTCAACCTTCTTTCTGTTTCAACATGCTTGGGTAGTAATAATAGTTCATGGGGTAGTAATAAAGGGAGTTAGTTCGGATGCTTTTTTGAGGGAGAAAGGTCACTTACAAAACCTATTCTGAGACACCAACCAACATCCTCTGATCTCAAGATGCCAGTTCAGTCCAGTTTACCTGAGTGGTAAGAATCGTGTTTTATACAGAATGGCTCCCAGTGTCCACTGAACCTCTCGGTCATATACCAGCTGGGCTGTCTGCAGGTGCGGGTAGTCATAGGGAAAGTGGAATCCTTCATGAAGGACTTGGTACATCCAAGCCGATTTAAAACACTGATATCTGTGTGACAAAATAATATTTTTTTAAAGAAGAAAAGAGAATTCTAATGTTTTCTATGTACTCCCCCTGGATGTCAAAAAAAAGACCGGTCTCTCTCTACTTCACCTTCCTCGCCTCTAGGTGGAGCCAAACCTGCGCCTACTTTATCTTGTTTTTTTTTTTTTTTTTTTAAAGATTTTATTTATTTATTTGAGAGAGAGAATGAGAGATAGAGAGCACGAGAGGGAAGAGGGTCAGAGGGAGAAGCAGACTCCCCTGGAGCAGGGAGCCCGATGCGGGACTCGATCCCGGGACTCCAGGATCATGACCTGAGCCGAAGGCAGTCGCCCAACCAACCGAGCCACCCAGGCGCCCACTTTATCTTAACGCAAAAGTGAGGACTGCCTTTTCGCAGTAGTGATATTGTGACTGTTTTCTTTTTCTTTCTTTTTTTTTTAGAGTGAAAGAGGGCAGAGGAGAGGCAGATGGAGAAGAAGAGAGAGAATCCCAAGCAGGTTCTATGCCCAGCGCGGAGCCCGATATGGGGCTCAATCTCACAACCCTAAAATCACGACCTGAGCCAAGATCAAGAGTCGGACGCTTAACCAACTGAGCCACTCAGGTGCCCCCTTTTTCTTTTTATGAGTCCTTATCTTCAAGGAGCCTGCTGAAGTATCTACAAGTCTACTTACACGATGTCTGGGATTTGCTTCAAAATAACCCAGCTGCGGTAAGAGGGCAGAAGGGTGGGAAAATAGATGCAACAAGATTGGGCAGAAGCTGATAACCACTGGTAGAGAAACAGGGTGACAGGCATACGGGAGTTTATCATACTCTTCTATTTTTGTTTATGTTTAAGATATTTTACAAATATTTACAAAAATGGGAGGACCGACAAACCAAACTGGCAAAATATTGGCACTTGTTGAAGCTGGGTGAGGTTTATGTTACTTTTCTTTCTACCCTTCTGCATGTTCCATATTTTAATTTAAAAAACCCACTTTTGATTTTTTTTTAAGATTTTATTTATTTATTTGAGAGAGAGAATGAGAGATAGAGAGCACGAGAGGGAAGAGGGTCAGAGGGAGAAGCAGACTCCCTGCCGAGCAGGGAGCCCGATGTGGGACTCGATCCTGGGACTCCAGGATCATGACCTGAGCCGAAGGCAGTTGCTTAACCAACTGAGCCACCCAGGCGCCCCCCACCACTTTTGATTTCAAGCCACTCAGAGAAAACCTTGCGGTGACCCTGGTTTTCATTGACTTCGCTAAACTAGGCTATTTTAGCCCCTATTGCTCAGAAAACCAAAATCAAAAATAATCAAATTCTCCTTCAGCATAAAATCACATCTGTGCTCTTACTTGCTCTCTCTCCCTCATTATAATATGCCATCTACATTTTCAGGCCAAATATAAGGGAGAAAAGGAAGCTACTTACTTGAGTCGATGCTCATCTGCATGTGATGAAAAGAGGCCATTCTTGAATCTCTGAGTTAGTACTGACCAGGCCATGCCACAGTAATCCTGGAACAAGTGCACAGAAATGTTGCAACGTGAAATTAAAGCCAAACCCTGTAACCTCCCTACAGTCACAGCTGCTCCATGTCTAAAGTTACTCATGGGCTACTAGTTGACAAAGGAAAATAGAAACGCCATCTTCATTCACTGGACACCGTGCAACACAAGTACTAAAATGCAGATGCAGGCTGCTGCGGGTCTCCTTTTTATTCCCATCACCTCAAGTCCAATACAAAGCTAGCCCAACATGGCTCCTGAGCCTCTTCAGCTTCAGACAGGGATAAGGTTAGGACCAGGAAGAGCAACATCAAAGCCAAAGGGAGCCTCACTCTGCTCTATGTCAGACTAACACGAGCAGGTAAAGTAGATGGTACAGAATGGTCAAAATTATACCACTGGCCTGTCTCTATGTTGTAGTTCTCCCCAAAGGAATCATTCCTTCTGGTTTGATCAGTTAACTTGTATTTCTTGAATGTCTACTTTGTGCCAGGTGCTATTCTAGGTGCCAGGGAGATTTAGCAGTGAGCAAAACAGACAAAACATGAAGCTCACATTCTAGTAGTAAGAGACAGACAGTAACCAAATACATATATATGCATGCATACATACAACACGCACATACCTATATACATATACACATACGTACAGAGTGTGTTAGATGACATAAATGCTCACAGGAAAGGGAAACAGGTAATATTGGGAAGGGCTGCAGTTATGGATATGGTTGCTAGGGAAGGTATAACTGGGAAAGTAACAGTTGAGTCAAAGTAAAAAAAAGAACAAAATTATCTCTTTTACCTGGGAAAGAGAACATATTAAGCCACTAGCAACTTGGGCAAGCAATAACTTGAGCCCTTTGGTGTTCAAGGGAATAGAATCTGAAGAAGTTTTAAAGTGAGAGAAAGATGTGGGCCATGGACATTTAGAGAGCCCTGGATGCTGGAAAGGAAAAGGAGTATGAGTGTATTCCTGGAGGCTGGAGAAGAACAAATACAAACCAGGTTTTCCTCAGTATTTCTCTCTCTCTTTTTTAAAGATTTTATTTATTTATTTGAGAGACAGAGAGTACATTTGGGGGGGGCAGAAGGAGAGAGACAAGCAGACTCCCTACTGAGCAGGGAGTCCAACATGGGGCTTGATCCCAGGACCCCGGGATCATGACCTGAGCTGAAGCCAGATGCTTAACCAACTGAGCTACTCAGGTGCCCCCTCAATATTTCTTAGGGACTGCCTTTAGGGAACAGAATATTACACATACTACAAATATATATATATATATTTTTAAGATTTATTTATTTATTTCGAGAGAGAGTGGGAGGGGCAGAAGGAGAGGGAGAGAGAATCTCATGACTCAGTGCGGGGCACAGAGCTTGACTCGGGGCTTGATCTCATGACCCTGAGATCAGGACCTGAGCTGAAACTAAGAGTCAGATGCTTAACTGACTGCCACCCAGGCATCCCACAGATATTATTAAATTGCAAGTCTTCTATCCAGAGAACCCTAGAGAACTGTAACAAAGCAGAAAGGAAAGAATAAAAAATATAAGGACAGATTCTTCCCATAAGTTTCTGCGCTAAAAGAGAGATCAGAAAGATAGGCAAAACTTCAGAAATGAATCTAAATTAAAGAAGGAGATTGGGCGCCTGGGTGGCTCAGCTGTTGAATATCACACTCTTGGTTTCGGCTCAGGTCGTGATTTCGGGGTCGTGGGATCGAGCCCCACACTGGGCTCTGTGCTCAGTGTGGAGTCTGCTTGAGATTCTCTCCCTCTTCCTCCCCCACTGCCCCTCCCCCAACTGTGCATGCACACACGCTCTCTCTCTCTCAAATAAACAAAATCTTAAAAAAAAATTAAAGGAGCTATACTCTCCCTCTGCCCCTCCCCCCGCTTACCTGCTCACTCTAAAATAAATAAATCTTTTTTAAAAAAAGGAGCTATAGAAAGCTAGCTAAACTTTTACCTGTTCAGGTAACTAATGATTTAAGCTTATAAACTGCTAACATCCTAGATATGCTCTAAATGAATTTTTATTTCTTCTGCATTTTAGTTTTAAATAATACTTACACCGACATTGCTTTTCCCAACATCTTTCTAATATTCCAAGTGACCCTATATACCATTCTGGCCTCCTAATGACTCAAACCAAAAAAATGAAAGTGCACTTGCCCACCTGTGTGACATCATCTCCAAAAGCATATTACAACTGAGAACACCCAGTAAGGTCTTCCCCTTACTTTATCTTTGGGGATGATACTTTTGTCCACAAACATTAAACAAGATTATTGGAAAACTAGAGGAACAACCATTAGCCACCACAATTATGGACTTGGGTGATAATCTGGGTGATCACAACATGCATGGAAACCTAAGCTTAATGAACTAGAAGACAGTCCGGCACAGCGGGTTCCTTAACTTTTGAGTCCACTTTCTCATCTATAAAACGAGGGCTCAGAGGGCCCCTGCGAAAAATCCAGTGAGATCAGGCATGCAAAGCTCTTTGAACAGCATCTGATACAAAGTTAGGCATCCAATAAATGGCTGCAGCTGGCGTGAGTCATCTTTATTATAAATAATTTACCTGGGCAGCCTTGGCAAACGTTGGCCCGTGATAGTGGCCACCAATGCGTAACACATCCTCTGTACAGTAAAAAAACTCAGAGAAACCATAGAACTCGCTGTTGTTGAAGTCAATTGGCGACTGGTAGATGCCATTCAGCGAGGCCTGGCTGGTGTTGGAGCGAGCCAGCAGGGGGCTCAGCATCGCCCCACAAGAGGCCCAGTCTCCTCTTCCTCGGATGTGCAGCACCTGGCTGTTCCTCTCCACCACATCTGTGAGGCCCACAGGCAGGCAGGGATCCAGAAATGGATTGTCTGGACTCAGACCAGTCTTCTGGCCCAGCAACCTGTCACAATGACAAAAACACAAAACACATCACTAATGTACTCACCCTCTTCTAGGAAACACCTAGTTTAAGAAACTTGGTCTAAGAATGTGCTTCACAGATTATCTTGTTGTTTTACATAGCATCCCTAGAAACAAGAATGGAGTTTTAGCATCAGTTTTAACACATCAAAATTTACCTTAAGCAAATTCAATTTAGTGGAAAGAAGGAAGGAAGGAAGGAAGGAAGGAAGGAAGGCAGGAAGGAAGGAAGGAAGGAAAGAAAGGAGAGAATTATGGCAGTGATCAAATTTTGTCCAACCGTTCAGTCCTCGTGTACATCTCCCAGTGCAGAGTGAAACTGGAAATGTTAATCTGCGGGTCTCAATCTAGTCTTCATTCCCACTGGTCTCTTAAAAGTGTCAAGATCTCACCACACCGAGTGCAGTTCTAACGTTCAACAAAACCCTGGGAGGAGGTGAAGAAGGCAGGCCCGGGAGAGGCTCCTGAGGAGGGGACCTTGTCGGTGGTGCAGTAATAACTGCCGGCAATAGGAAGGACATGCCTGGCCCCTCGCAGGGACGGGGGGAGGGGCAGGTTCTCATCCCCACCATAGCCGTCGCACAGTTCTGGCTGTTTCAAGTCAGTACTTTGCCCAGCAACAAAATTCCCATTCCTAAGGGGATGAAATACAGATCTGGCCGAGAACAGAAATTAAGTGAAGACCAAATAATGTTGCCAACCATGGTTAATTATTCACCAGTTCCTGAAGAGACACATGTTGAAGAGTGGACTTCCTGGGATGAAGATGCCCCCACAAGGGTAAAGACTAAAGGAGGGAGTGGGAATGTGGCAACACCACAAAATGCTTTGGAACGACTGGAACTTATTTTAAGGATGTGACACCAACCATAGAAAAAACAAAACAAAACAAAACAACATCAGAAAATCATATTAAGAAGAAAGAACCAGGGGCGCCTGGGTGGCTCAGTCAGTTGAGCCTCCGACTCTTGATTTGGCTCAGGTCATGATCTCAGGGTCATGAGATCAAACCCCCCATCAGGCTCTGCACTGGGCATGGGGCCTGCTTGAGATTCTCTCTCTCCCTCTCCCCCTACCTCCACCCCTGTTTGCTCTCTCACTCTCTCTTAAAAAAAAAAAAAAAGAAGAAGAAGAAGAGGAAGGAACTATTATGTTCTGACATCCCAGGAAGCACAGGTTTCTCTAGTAGATTAGAAGCTACACGAGATGAAGAATAAATCTTCTGAATTAGGAACTTAGAAACATGGCAAGAAAATACCAGTGCATGGGAGGATGATGATGCAGCCTGGCAAGTTCTGAGCAGAAAACAGCAAAGAGAAAAGGGCAGCAGAACAACAAAGGAAGGAAATGGAAAAGGAAGCACAGCAGCTAACAAAGAAGGACCACAACAAAATTGGTGTGAAACTCTCATAACTGTTCTCCAGATGCCGTGGTGCCGGCAGCCCAAGAAACAGGAGTACAGATGTGAGAGTATTTTCAGAATGCAAACACACTGACGGATTTTAATGCATTCATCAATCATCTGCGGTAACAGGATTCTCCCAAAATACTGTAAACTCCTGGTAGTTGAGACTCACAAAAACAAAAAAGAATTATGAGACAGTATTTTCTTTAATATGGTCCCAATATAAGACAACTGCTGTGGAAAAGTTATTATAAATAGGCTATACTGGTACTTCTTCAAACTAGTGTTTCTAGCAAAACAAATGGGGGTGAGTAATTTTATGGTGAAAAAAACTCTGCTGTCTATTATGCTTCCTTCAATGCACGTAATGATACAATAATTTTAAATAAAGAAAATCTCACAACTATTTGTACATTATGGCCTAAATACTTCACGGGGTACTCAAATGAAGAGTCTGTGATCTGTCCATGCTGCAAAGCAAACTGGCTGTTCTGGACTTAATGAGAGAGCAATGTAAAGGTTAATTCTGACTTCACATGCTTTTTATTCTTTTATGCACACTATGGACCTCACTCCCACATAAGATGCAACTCCACTGTAATTCATCAAATACATCTTCCATGTAGAGGGAACTGCTAAGAGCTACACTACATTGCACATTATAAATTAAGAACTTAATCTCACTGGGACGCATGGGTGGCTCAGTCAGTTAAGTGTCTGCCTTCAGCTCAGTTAATGATCCCAGGATCCTGGGATCGAGCCTTGCATCGGGCTCCCTGCTCAGCAGGGAGCCTGCTTCTCCCTCTCTCTCTGCCTGCTGCTCCCCCTGCTTGTGCTTGCTCTCTCTCTCTCTCTCTCTAAAGTTTTTAAAAAATTCTTAAAAAAAAAAAGGAACTTAATTTCATTTATCCTATGATACCATTTCTGAAACAGGACACTGCAAGAGGTCCCAATAAGCTGCTAGACTTTTTTGGGTCTGACCAGAATGCACCTTCACCTAGATTGAGTGGGACTACTAATACAGGGTCTCTAAGCAATACTACCCCATTGGCAGGAGTGGTCAGGAAGAAGGAGGAAGCAAGGACATATCTATCGTAGTAGGATAGGAGTATTTCTTCCTAGTATCTGCACCCTGATGACATTCTATTTCAGAGGCACAGATCCCCACGTCGACATACCTATTTTTGGTAAGGGTTTCATTCAGCACAAGGTCTTCATAGCGCTGCCGGGCAAAGTTGCCCCCAAAACCCAGAAAGGTCGTGACATAAACCCTATACACGTGTTCAGTATGTTGCACATCACAGCCCAGGTTGAATTCAGCCAACAGGATCTTTGCTGCTTCTTCCTATAATACAATGTAAAGCGAAAAAAGGGAATCTTAGTTTTGGCTGACTGACAGAAAGCTATGACATCACTAATACACCAGTCTTCATGTGCTATAACTACTCTTTAAGATATCTTATAGCATTCTCTCATTCTTATAGCATTATTTTCAACAAAGACACGAAGTGACAAGCCTACATAAAACAGTACAGAGACTAAATGCCAAATTAGAGACTACAACACTAGCTGTAGTTCTACAGAAGGTAGAATCATTATTACAGATGATGTGATTTTCTTGCACGTATTCTTCTGATTTTCCAATCCTCCAAAATGAGAATGTACTATTTTTATCATCAGGAAAAAAAATCCTTTGATAAAAATAAATTTAAGGAATTTTGGAGATCATTATGAGACCTATTCTATGGGTTTTTCTAAAACTATTCAAGAAGATCTAATGTTCCCTATTACAGGGACTGGGATTGGGAAAGTTCCATTTTACTGGACCTCCAATGAAAAGGGGCTCTATTTTTTTTTTTAACTTGAGGTACATGGGTTGAATTAATCATACTCCTCAGTTCATGGTACATTATTATGGCAAAGCCCCATTTTTGTTTTATTTACTTCCTTTTATCTTCATATCCACTCCCATTCCTGCTCCCCACAGGCAAGCATTCTAATGTGCTTCAATGTGTAATGTATGTTTGTACATACTGTTGTAAAATGAAATTATTGTTTTGAATGTATTTGTTTTTAATTTATGAAGATGCTATTGTGCCCAGAAATTTCACTAAGTATATACACAGGAGGAGTGAAAACTATGACTAATCAAACATGTGAATGTTCACAGCAGCATTATTCATAATAGCCAAAAACTGGAAATAAAATCCAAAAGTCCATCAACTGATGAATGGATAAACAAAATGTGGCATGGTCATATAATGGAATATTATTCAGCCATGAAGAGAAATGAAGGACTGACACGTGCTATAACAGAGATGAACCCTGAAAACATTTTGCTAAGTTAAAGAAGCAGACACAAGATGTCACATATTGTATGATTCCATTTATGTGAAATACTAAGAACAGGCAAATCCACAGGAGATGTGAAGCAAATTATTTTATTTTATTTTATTTTATTTATTTGAGAGAGCGAGAGAGCAAGACAGAGAGAGCACAAGTGGGGAGGGGGGAGCGGGGAGAGGGAGAAGCAGACTCCCCGACGAGCAGGGAGCCCGATGCGGGGCTCGATCCCAGGACCCTGGGATCAGGACCTGAGCCGAAGGCAGATGTTTAACCAACTGAGCCACCCAGATGCCCCAGTGAAGATTATTGGTTGTCAGGGCTACAAGGAGAGAATGGCAAGTGACTACTAATGAATGCGGGGTTTCTTTGGGCGTAATAAACACATTCTAGAATTCAACAGAGGTAGTTGGGTTACTTTGTGAACGTGCGCAACTTTGTGAATTGTACAAAAAAATCACTTTGGGCATTGAGGATTATTTATATTTTGTAAAGTGCTATTGTGTTATGTCTCATTGTTCTTTTCCTTCTTTACCAAGCACTGAGATCCATCTTTAAGATCATTATATTGCTATGCATACATCTAATTTGTTGCTTGCAAATATACTTTCTACACGAGTGTCACTTTCTAAATCTACACAAATAAAAAAGTCATTTGTTTAAGACTTTAAGGATCAGTGCCACTCACTGGATCCATGGCCTTCAGTTTACCTGTTGATGACATACTAGCAAATATAGGCTAAAGTTAAAATGTCTTACAACCTAGTTCCCCAAATTTCCAAACCTTGCACAGACCCCTGCTGATTATCAAACCCAAATTTCCAACAATCTTGCTGGATATTTAAACACATATGTTCCTCAGATATTTCAAATTCCAACATACTCAAAACTGAACTCACTGGTCGCAGGACTTGGGCTAGAGATCAGAAAGTCGCTCTCACGCAAACCACCGGACCATAATGATTTGCTTAGCATCAACCCACCCTTTATCCTGGGGTCTCTCTCAGTGACTGGGTTCCTTACCCTACCAGGTACCTAGGAGGGAACCTCAGCATCACTGGCCATCCTTTCCTGTCCTACCCACACCATTATATTACATTGTTTTTTTCAATTCCAAAATACCCTTGAAATCTGTCCCCTCCACTCCATTTCCACTTACAATGCCTAGTTTAGCCCTTATTACTTCTCACCCAAGGTTCCCTGACCTACATTTCTTTCTCCTCCTGACACCAAAATTATTTTCCTAAAAAATCAATTAGATCAGTCACACAATACAGAGCTGAAAAGGACCTTAGGAGTTTAATTACTTCACAGATGATGAAATGAGGTCCATATGAGTGCCCTACTCAAAAACCTTTGCTAACTATCCTCCGTTTATAGATATAAAAGTGAAATTCCCTAGCATGGAACCTAAGACTCCTCACCGTCTAACTTCATCTGATCTTCCTAGACTTAGCTACACTGCACTGGAAAACCATACACTGCAACAAGCTGTTCACCACTCCCTGGACATTCTGGGCTCTTTGCTGCTTCTTTTGTGCCCTTGCATATACTGTGGCCTCCATACAGGTGGCCCTCCTCCACCTCCACTAGGCAAAAGCCTACTATCATCCAAGACCCAGGCAACAAGCCAGGATGACTCCCATTCATGGAGCAGGGTAATGGGGTGGGGACATTACTGGCATCTGGTAGAGGCCTGAGATGCTGCTAAACATCATATTATGCATGGGGCAGCTACAACAAAGGCTTATCCAGCCCAGAACGTCAATAGTGCCAACGATGAGAAACCCTGGTTTAGATCAGATGATAGCACTGTCACGGTCTGCCTGTTATCACAGGCTCTCTGCACTGATAGATTATAAGCTTTTGGGGGCAGTATAATGTCTTATTCCTTGCCCATAAGGTGCTTAAAAACTGTCTGCATTTCTTTTTCCTCTCTATGATAAAACTTCTCCTTCGAGATACATTCTTTACACTCTAGTCAGGTATGGAATATTAGAAGCACAAGAATGGAATCATAAGCAAGGGAAAGGAAATAACATTTAATAGACAAGTATGTATCAAATACTGTACTCTGGGATTTATATGTATTATGTTTAATCTTCAGGCAAACCAAGAGACGGGGAGTATAATTATAATTGCTAAAATTATTAAACACTTATCACATACTGGGAAGTTTGTAAAGTGCTTTACACACATGGTGTCATTTCATCCTCCCAAGTTTATGAAGTAGAAACTATTATTATTCTCTTTTTATTTTATATATGAGGAAATTAAGGCTCAGAAAGGAACCTGCCCAAGATAATATAAGCTAGCAAGTATCTCAACAAATATTTGGACCCAGGCAAGTTGGTCTAAGTCCAAAGACAGTGGCCTTCTTCTCAAATACTGGCATTTCTCGCAACTGAATTTCCCTAAAAGGTAAAATACCTGTTTTGGAGGAAGGACAGAGGTTGAGGTAGGAACTTCATAAGCAATTTGAAGAGAGGCTCCTCCCATATCCAGTATCCCTACTGTCCTTCTGCGCCCTGCTGCCAATTCCTGGGGAGCCTCGGCATCAGATTCTGAAATAAATAAGGGAACAGAAAGGATCTAGTAATTAAAAAACAAAATTAAATCAAAAAGGAAAAAAAAAACCAGAACAGAAATCCCTTAAAAAATGAAAAACAAACTGAAATAAATTAATCTAATGATATCACCTATATATTATAGAGAATTCTTTTTTTTTTTTAAGATTTTATTTATTTATTTGACAGAGAGAGACACAGCGAGAGAGGGAACACAAGCAGGGGGAGTTAAAGAGGGAGAAGCAGGCTTCCCACTGAGCAGGGAGCCCGATGCGGGGTTCAATCCCAGGACCCTGGGATCATGACCTGAGCTGAAGGCAGACGCTTAACAACTGAGCCACCCAGGCACCCCTATAGAGAATTCTTTTATAACTTAAAACAGTAACTTAAAACCTAGCATTTTTACTGTATCCCTTATAGAATGTATCTTAATGACAATAGAAGCAAATAGATATCTTAAACTGCATTTCAGTAGTCTTATTGATAATGATTTTATTGGTAAATTAAGCATATATTATGAAATAAAGTAAATGTTTATATTAATATCTTTAGAAACATAATCGGCATAAAAGAAAAACATATAAGTACAAAATCAAAGATATTAAGCAATAACCTTTTAATTTTAAGTATGAATTGGAACTATCACTATGAAATCATGAGTTTTCTCTTTCTAAAAATACATTTTTTCTAGCTCTGTTCACTGAAAGGGCCTAGGAGCAAGGATAATCCAGGAGCAATGAGCACCCCTGGTATCCACAGTCACTAAATATCATTTTTCAATAAAAGAAACCAGGGCTCCTTAAAAAGTAGCTGATGCTAGGTCTAAGGTAGAAAGAATACAAGATGAGCATGGAATACCTTAGTGTGCCAAAAAGCAAGGGAAATGTAGACTACTGTGATGTTAAAAGGTACAGGAGCCAACTTAAAGGTGCTCCTACTGGCCAATGATGGTATAATTTGAACACCGAAAAGAATGATGCTATGACGGACTAAGATACATCAAACACATTAAAATCTATAAATTCATAATGATACTGGAAAAAAAAACTTCACTGGTTACCTTTAACCTTTTCATGCTAGGACATGAACTCATTATTCAAAAACTTGGTAAATGAAAGGAAAGAATGAAGGACTTATTTTGCCTTTCCAATAAGAACTGTATTTCAGGGTAATTAGTTAATGAAGAAAATTTTGTTATATAAAAATCTAAGCTGTTGGGGCGCCTGGGTGGCTCAGTCAGTTGCATCTGCCTTTGGCTCAGGTCATGATCCCAGGGTCCTGGGATGGAGCCCCACATCGGGCTCCCTGCTCAGGAAGAAGCCTGCTTTTCCCTCTCCCTCTGCCCCTTCCCTCTGCTTGTTCTCTCTCTCTCTCTCTAATAAATCTTAAAAAGCAAAGAATATTTGTTTTATTTATTGCAGAAGAACTGAATTAGAAAAATCACCATTTTCCAACCTCTAATAAAAAAAATGGATCTAAGCAATCATCACAATTGGCTACTATAACCATTAAGTGAAAAGTGGCTGGGGAATTTTTATAATAGATTAGATCAGGCTGACAATACCTGACTCCTGAATACTTGATCAGTCTTAACATAACTAAAAGTGGGACAACCAGACATTATAAAACTCCTGATGTGATGTAGTAGGAAACACTTACCGCCAATATTTGTGATTTATTCTTGCTGAAAGAATTAAGTCTGTCTAAACAAGGTTCTGTCGGGATGAGAAGCATGTTGCAGACCCCACAAAAATGCAGTCAATCAAATCAAGAATGTGTCAAATTCATGCTATCAAGTGATCCAGTTTTGTTTTTGTTTTTAATGAATGATTTGAGGAAAAGAGGTGGGAGGGTGGAAACGGTTTTAGAGTAAGAAACTGATCAATCAAACATCAAACATAACATGTGATCCTCAATCAGATTCTAATTTTAACAAGACAACTACAAATAAATATTCTTGAGACAATAAGGGAAGTCTTTACCTGGGTAGATGGATGTTACATAATATTAGAAATTGTTAACTTTTTTAAGTTTAAAAATGCCATTGCATATGTTTCATTTGTTTTGAAATTCCTCATTGGTGAGAGATATACACTGAAGTACACGAAGATAAAATGATATGTCTGGGGTCTGCTTTTAAAAATCCAATAGGAGGGGCATCTGGGTGGCTCAGTCAGTTAAGCATCTGACTCTTGGTTTTGGCTCAGGTCATGATCCCATGGGTCCTGAGACTGAGTCCCATGTTGGGCTCCATGCTCAGCGGGGAGTCTGCTTGAGATTCTCTTCCTCTGCCCCTCTCCCCACTTGCACTCTCTAGTTCTCACTCACTCTCTCTCAAAATAAATAAATAAATATTTTTTTAAAAATCCAATAGGAAAAAAAACCCTGTGCTGTATGGAGGGAGTGTGGGGCAAAAAAACTGGCCAATCACTAATTAGTGTTGCATCTGGGTACTGGGTTCATGGAGATTCATTTTATTATTTACTCTACTTCTGTGAATGTTTGCAACTTCCCATATTAAAAAGTTAAAAAGAAATAAAAAAAGGCAAATTAAGACTGGAAAATGAAGCATCTTAAAAGAGTTTTAAAAAGCTAAAGAAAGAAAGAAAAACAACTCAAACATAGCACTTATGTTCTACTGATAGGTTACAACATAAACCTTCAGCGCTTAGAACTCTCGTAAGATGACAGCATTACTCACCATCCTCATGGTCGAATCTTCCCAAAACAAAGTTGATTCCAATCCATGCATAAACTCCTAAGTAAGAAATATGAAAGTCCTTGCTTAATTCTCTATTGCTATGCCATGTCTACACCTCTTCCCAGGGCCGCTCTTTTCCTCCTTTCCTTAGAAAAAGGTGATGAGAGTATTTTATTCCACACTCTCAGTGTATGAACTTAAAATCTCTTATCTTATGATGTTTTCCCTTTAAAATGATTTGCATTGTCTAAATTTCCTACAGATGATTATGGATTAATGTATAAAAACAAAAGGTAAAAAAATGTGAATCTTGGGAGTTCTGGTTCTGGGCAAGATGGAGTAAGCACACTCCATCCTGTCTCCCCACTGAATACAAATGTAAACTCTGGACAGAATGTATGGAGCACATTTGTGAGGCCTCTGAAAGGAAATGATAACGGGCACACTGAGACAGAGATCAGAAGTTAAAGTACCACCAGACCGGTAGTGAATTCTCCATTTTTCTCCCCAGATATTGCCTGGCCTGGACTCAAAAGCAGCTTGAAACACAAAAGGATATACAGGTGGGGAGAGAAAGAAATTCAAGACTTTGCTTTCTGGTCCAAGGAGCATTAAAAGGGACTCCAAAGCCTCAGAAAGAATGGAGGAAAATCCCTTGAGTTTTTTTCCCTTTATTTTGTTCGCTACATCAGGCAATCCTGCAGGGGTAGAGGCAGAAGTTGGGTAGGTAACTAAAACTCTGAAGGATACGAATCCTTTCTCTGACTAGAGGAGCCTTAAGAGTTGGGGAAAATCCCTATTGCTTATTTTTCTCCCTCTGTCCTCTACCATTTAGCCCTGGATACAGATGCAATCATGGGAAATGCAGGGCAGAGCAGGTAAATTAAAGTCCTGGCTTTCTGAATGGAGGAGTAAGCCCCAGGGAACCAGAAAGTATTGGGGAGATAACAGAGAGTAAGGAACAAAGTAGTATATCAACTTCTGGGCTCACATCCAAGCTACACATGCATAGATCTCACTCCAAACAATATACCAAAGGTTCTGAGAACTGAACTACTGGCTAGACAACCCATTTTGTATGGGCTATGCCCAGGTTCTATATTGGCCACTGGGTATCACACAAATGGGACAAATTCAAATCGCAGTGACAAGGTTTTGAAAATGAATCAACAGAATCACAGCCAACAGAAGGCAGGTCAGAGTTTGAGGCATAAACCTAACCAGGTCAACTCCCTGCTAAATCAAACAATCAATAATCTCCTTATGACCGAAAAAAGACCCAGAGTCTCAAAATGTAATATTCAAAATGTTCAGGATACAATATAAAATTACTTAGCATAAAAAGAACTAGGAAATTCTCAACTTATAAGGGAAAAGATACCAATCCCAAGAAGACACAGATGTCAGAATTATCAAAGATATTAAAGCAGCTATATAATCAAGAAATAAAAGCAGTCCTAGCATGAATGGAAGATAGACAGTTTCAGCAAATAAATAGGATATAAAAAAGAATCAAAGGAAAATTCTAGGGCTGAAAAATGCAATACTGAAATAGAAAAAGGTAAATCTTTTCCCTTATGTGAGCTGTAACTAGAATGCGTGGATTTTCTCTTTTTCAAGAAATGGAAACATAATTTGTCATACAGGCCACATGTGGGCCACATGAGAACACATAATCAACTCTACCCCCAAAGTGCAAGCTTTTAGGGAAGTATCAGTACTGCACAGTAAAATGCAATAAAGGGAGAGCCTGTAACAAAGAAAAGTAAGTAGTGATCATCCCGATCACCCCCTAAAATTAAAGTTTCCCCTTACTTTAATAATTTACTTTACATTTGAATTTGGCAAACTCAGTAGACCTCAGAGAAGTATGTATGTTTTAAAAACTACCATTAACTAACCAAATATCCATTTGGAATCATCACTAAATACTAATACATTCTTATAAACATAGTACTTAGCACAAAGTTAAAAACAAATATAAACATAGGACTTCTAGAAGCAGCATTCTTCTTTTTCCATTTTTTAAAAATTTAAATTCAATTAACATACAGAGTATTAGTTTCAGAGGCAGAGTTCAGTGATTCATCAGTCATATATAACACCCAGTGTTCATTGCATCACATGCCCTCCTTAATGTCCATCACCCAGTCACTCCATCCCCCACCCCCCTCCCCTCTAAAAGCAGATTCTAAAACAGATACCAACACAGAATATGCAAATAATAAAAAAAAACTATACAGAATTAAGAAAATTATTCGAAGAAAAATAAAAATCAAATATATAAAGTTATCCTAAACCCCCGCCAGAGAGACTATGCCACAGCTGGCTGGGAGCCAAACCAGTGTGCCCCTCGAGGCCCAGTACCTTCCTGCTTCCCAGAGATCACTTCTGCCTGAGACTGGGAAAAGAGGAAGTCAAACTCCAGCGGTAAATCTCTCACTAGATCAGCCAAGATGGCCAGCTGCTTTCTGCAAGAAAAAAAATACATTAAAATTAATCGTTAAACACTCTTCTCACAATTAGCTTCAACTTGATCTTCTACTCAGACTTGTTACGACTCACTGCTCATATAGCCCATCCATCAGCTGAGCCCAGCTTCTTTTTGGTACCTCCTTTGATTTCAAAGGTTTAAACTGCCTCCAAAGGACATCCTCCTACTTAAATGGCAATATGGTACTATTAATACTTTCCCTTTTTATAATTTTACAATTTAAATAGCGTTAAAAGATGAGACCATGGTTCTGTGCCTCTCACAGGCTGAATATGTATAAGCGGCAGGAAGCATGGTTTCATAATTACATGATTCCTAACTATTGTGAAGGGAAGCTGTTAGACTGAGGAACACAATCTCATCTTCAAATCTTACACAATACAGAAACAACGCCTCACATCACCACACGATGAGCACTGTTAGGTCCACAAGTTTTTAACAATCCTTTACACAAGCTGACAATGAACTTTTTTATTTCCTTTTATATATTTCAAGGGTTGGAGATTTTTTCTTTATAAAAATCGTATCATTTGAAAAACCCAGATCAGGATAAAAATCCAAAGGTTATAACAATTTGGGGACAAAGTTTGAGTCTTAGTATCTAGGGTTGTTTTCTCGTCTACAGTTTTGTGTTATCAGTGTTATTAAAGAAAAGCAAAGAAACAAAGCTAGAAGTAATAATAAGAATCTAGAGAAAACAGTTAAAAATAAGAGCAATTATCCTAGGTTTTTCAAATTACTCATTACAAAAATATTGGCTCAGATAGTTGTCGGCATGACTTAATGGAGAATGTTAAAACTTAAAAGTGAAGAATACATTTAAAGTAATAATTTCCCAGGGGCGCCTGGGTGGCTCAGTCGTTAAGTGTCTGCCTTCGGCTCGGGTCATGATCCTGGGGTCCTGGGATCGAGCCCCGCAATGGGCTCCCTGCTCAGCGGAGAGACTGCTTCTCCCTCTCCCACTCCCCCTGCTTGTGTTTCCTCTCTCGCTGTGTCTCTGTCAATAAATAAATAAAATCTTTAAAAAAAAAAGTAATAATTTCCCAGTATACTGTCAAATATAGTTTCCCGAAAAGCTCACTGTTATACATATTAATTTCTTGCAATATGGGGAACAAGAGGGACTGTTTTGCCCTCCCTATTGGATATGCTTCTAAAATACCCAAAGAAGAGGGCTTGCTGGTTTTGGTGATGATATGGAAGAACAGGCGCCAACATACACTGCTGTTGGGAATATAAATTACTGGTATGATCTTTCTAAGAGCAATCCAGGACTATGTATCCACATTTTTAATGTGCTTAACCTTTGACCAGCTATTACACTTGTAGAAATTTATTGCAAGGAAATCATCAGATAAGAATACAAAAAGAAAGAGAATATTGCAGCACTATTTCTAACAATGTAAAAGTGAAAATAACCTAAATGCACATCATTAGGTATTGGTTAAATAATCTGTGGTATATCCATACAATGTGATACTAGACAGATGTTAAAAGAAATGAGGTCAATATAGATCTATATGTATTGATCTGAAAAGATGTCTGATATATTCTGAGTTCTAATAGGTTATGAAACAGTACATATAATATGATCCAAATTTATATTAAACAATAAAACAAAAAAGTTCTTCACGTACTACATGGGATTGTCTAAAATCCAATTATTGTTTCTTATTAAAAAAAACTTTTAGTGGCAAAATGTTGGCAATTGTTGAAGCTGGGTGGTAAGAAAATAAGGATTCATCATGATCTTCTATTTTTTTTTTTGATGTTTGAAATTTCCCATAACAAAAGTTTTTTCTTCCCTTAAATATCCTTGTACTATCTTTGTAATTTTTTAAGGATATTTCCATTACAAAATGAAAATGAGGTAAAACAAATTGTTAGTTCAGGTCTTTGGCAAAGAAATAAAACCTAGTGCTAACACAATTCAAAATATAGTTCAGGTGATTTGAACCCATTTTGAATATTGCTCACAAATGCTAATAAATTAGCAAAGCATTAATTATACAAAACAGGTTCTTACAGTGATGGTTGCATTTATGTCAACAACTACGGCTGCCTCAATTGGGAACAATGATTTCATAAGCCCAGGAGAGATCCAGGCATTATTAGAAGAGGTGATCAGAAGACAAGTTAAAAGGCAAGCTCTTTACAAATTCTTAAGATAAAAGAAATATTAATATTCAGAGCTTCCATGCAGACAGTGAACATCTTAGACAAATGGAATGGAGCTACATAGTGGGTTTTGCCCGGATGGAAACTTCTTTGACAGAGTCAATGCTGAGCAGCATCAGGAGATGAGACAATCCTCTTTTGCTCCAACCCACAAAACATGGCCAAACCATCAACCTCCTGGTTGGCTCTGTCTTTTTGACTTCTGAGTCAGCTTCTTCTCTGGCCATCCCCCCCCTTCCTTGGTGCCGACCGCAGACCACTCACAGACCTGTGATGTGGCATCCCTACGTCACCTATACTCTTCCCAGGATTTCTAAATTTTGAACTATGTGAATATTACTTATGTCAAAACTAAAAATCCTAAATTGCATGCGCAGTATGGTTACAACTTTGTAGAAACTACATATAGATGTACAGAGAGAAGGGAATGTGACAAGATGAAACACTTTCGATAGGGCAGTAGGAATATGTATTTTGGGTGTTTTTTTTTTTTTACTTTTAAGATTCCTTTAATGCAGCTATAATATTTTAAAATTTGGTTTTAAAAATAAAAACAAAAAAAATTTTTAAAGGTCAAGATATATGGAAAAATAAGGGGCTAGAAGATCTCTCATTTCCACAAAGGGCTATATAAAATAATCTCCTTCTCAACAGTAGCCTAGATAGTAAACCAGTAACCATGTGTTTAAACAGAAGGAAAGAAGTCCACTGAAAAAACTGTGGACATATGTTATCTGGCACATCTGGCATAAGTAGCATGAAGCCCTACATGCATGGCTGAGGTTTTTGTTGTTGCTGGCCAAGAATACAAAATAAAACTTTCTGGGAAAGGTTACTGTTATTTACCAAGAAAAAATATTTAAGCTAATAAAAAATACCTGATGCCTATGAGACTTTGAACATTCCAGAAGGATGAATTCTAAGGTTAAGGGAGCTCACTGCCACCCCATGACCATAATAAGTGTGGAGGGCTCAGGGAGGTATCGAAGGGGAGACATCACAAACAAGAAGGGGTGTGACCTACATATAGCCACTGCCTCTTCTTCCTCTTCTTCCAGAGAAGGAAGAGGGATCAGGTGGCAAGATACTGGGCTAAACTACCAAGGTCAAGTGGACACTGGACTGGTTGGGGTTGAAAAAACTGGTCTAAAGCAATGGAGACTGAGCTTGGCAAGCAGCACCAACTATCACCAGGGAGCCAGGCAGTGACAGACAGAGCAGCATTCCTACCAGAGCCTTTCCTACTGGCCTCCAGGTACCTGGTCACTCAGATGAACCTCCTATGACACTTCTGACTATGCTCCCCATCTAGTGATCCAGATTTATCACCATCACCATTGCTTCTCAATCAGAACTAACAATCATTACAGCCATCTCACATAGATATCGACCCCAAAGAAGCAAACGACATGAAGCTCTGAAAAACGGATTGTGAAGTAATGACATGCAGGGGTGGCTCTGCTCTCTTTTGAGCTACGAGTCTTTTAGTGCCACCTGTCAACTCTGTGTGGTATGTCCACAGCCCACCTTCAGACGAGGGAACTACAGAGAAAAATGCCATAGAGTCAGGCTTGCAACTCTTGTGCCACCCATTTGCCCGTGTTTTTTGGACCCTACATCTCACCTCTCAGGGAGAAGCCGCATGCCTGCTGTGCATAGGATGTAAAGGGGTGTCTCCTTGTGCTTCTTCACAGGCACATGGGCAGCAGCAAAGCTCAGCAGAGGACGAAGGTAATCACTGGCATGTTCTGGGGTGTCTGCCATTGCAGAGATTCCTTAAGTAAGACAAGACACTTTAAAAAGCAGATCACATTGACTCAGAAGACTGATTCTCCATAAAGTTCTGCTTAAGGTCTTAAACGCTATTTATTTGCGAGGATGGGAGCACCAACGAATGAGATATCCCTCCCATTATCCAGAATCTCAAGGAAAAAATGGGGGGTAGCTTTCCTTCTCCCTCTTCTCTCTTCTCTCATGCCTGCAACAGATAAAAAGAGATTGACAACAAAATATACTCTGATTAGTACCTGGCTTAATTTTTTTAACGACTGGTTGGCTGTTGCGGTCTCTCATCTGTTTGATGTCCAGCAAATCATGGGGGTTGCCATTATGTCTTGGCCAGAAATAAACAAAAATCCGGGAGCCACTGCTGCCACAGTCCACAACAAGGCCATAATTTAGAGTCAGGTCTTCAGTGTCAGTTGCTTCAAGCTCCCCTACTCGAGCCAAATACCTAAGCCAGGTGAAAAGAGATACTGGTATCAAGCATCCAGGTCCACAAAGGCACCACTACTTTAATTCATTTGTTCATGAGTCTTCATTAACTGCCTATATGTGCCAGCCACATGGAACCACACGTCTTAAGGAATGAAACAACACTGACCATAGTTACTGATGTATATATATGAGGCAAGAGCTAGTTTGCTCGCCTAGAGGCCACTGGAATCAGAGAACTAAAAGATTCCTCCATGTTTGGGAGCAGTTCCGAAACTGGCTGGGGAACCAAATCTTTTACCAACTTTAAAGAACTTCTAGGCCTGCGTAAATAACTGGGTTTTGTTGTTATAAGCCACTAAGATTCAGGGCAGTTTGTTACACACACTAGTTAACTAAATGAATCCTAATAATTTCCCTTCTATCTATCCTTTCTGTATATAAAGAATACTTTGGAATGATTATCACTTAATATGTGTTTCTAGGTGGTAAAAATGTATGGGGCTTTTTATTTTGTATTTTTTATTGCTAGACTTGCATTAGTAAAAATGTATCTCATAAATACAATATTCTTCTCTACAATCTTTTTTTTTTTTTAAGATTTCATTTATTTGACAGAGAGAGACACAGCGAGAGAGGGAACATAAGCAGGGGGAGTGGGAGAGGGAGAAGCAGGCTTCCCACCGAGCAGGGAGCCCGATGTGGGGCTCGACCTGAGCCAAAGGCAGACACTCAACGACTGAGCCACCCAGGCGCCCCTCTTCTCCACAATTTTTTAAAGTATTTTTTAGTCATAAAAAGAATGTTTATAAAGTATGTATAAATAATAACAATAAAACAATGCCTCTGTACCCAACACCCAGTTTAAAAAAATAAAACATTATACTGCTTTAAAAAAAAACAAAAACAAAATCTAAAAAGCTTCTAAGCCCCAGGACATCAGTACTTTATGTTGGGATTTTTCCAGATTCTCATTACAAGATATTTATTTGGCTGACAGCAGAAAGATGAAACAAGTAAAGATGTTACCATCAAAACACCAAGGTTTGAGTCTCAGCTCTAGCACTTTCTATGCTATATGATCTTTAGCAAGTTACCTAACTTCTCTGAGACTATTTTCTCATCTGTAAGATAAGGGTATGGAGTCTCTGCCCTCAGAGAGGTTAGCACCGTGCTTTGCTGCCACTGCTCTTGTTGTTATGTGATGAGCACTGAGAGAGCAAATAGTAGAAGACTCTGGAGAAAAGAGCTGAAGAGTCCAGAAGAAAAGGCGGCTGAGAGTTGGTAAAATGCTAAAATGCTCCTGAGCTCTGAGGCTTTAATAAACATTAAAGTTCACTCAGAACCTGAGGGTCTGAAAAGTACAAACATTGCTGACTCCTCTCCAAAGGCTTCACTTGAAGAGGAGCCCAGTGAGAATGGCTTTGAGATTATATGGAAAAAGAGCTGTTTCTCAGTGTTAAGAATACATAGTGCATGGCAGACAGATGTAGGGGTGCCTGGGTGGCTCAGTCGTTAAGCGTCTGCCTTCGGCTCAGGTCATGATCCCAGGGTCCTGGGATCGAGCCCCACATCGGGCTCCCTGCTCAGCAGGAAGTCTGCTTCTCCCTCTCCCACTCCCCCTGCTTATGTTCCCTCTCTCGCTGTGTCTATGTCAGATGAATGGATGGAATCTTTAAAAAAAAAAAAAAAAAAAAAAGTCTTGTAAATTCCTTTAAATTTGATTAAGTATTACTATAGGTTGAGCTAATAGTTGAATAAATGCTCTGAAAGCAAAGCTGTGAATTTTTTCAAGTATCACAGCTAAACAACCTTCCTTATATCTGCCCTAGTCACCCAAAACCGTATTTAGGCTAATTCCTAGATCCCCTAGACCCTTACACAGAACCCCTCAGAACTAGGTTCTGTGAAGCCTGAAGCTAGTGCCATTGGGGAGAGGGGCATTCTTTTTTAAGAAAGATTCAACATTACAAATATGAAAGGAGTCCACACATGTTTGGGGCCTTGATGTGTAGGTATCATTAGCTCTGTAGGAAATCCACCTCTGATCAGACAATAAGCCACATGTCTCACCCCTCAGGACAATCTAGCCCACGTTTACCGGTGATTTCACATTGCTATGCAGACCACAAAGTTCCCTACTTTGGACAGAAAAGCAAACTTGATGAATAGATGAGCGTGTAGAAACAGACTGGAAAGAAAAAAGTAGAGCTAAGTACCTTTCCTATGGTACAAAATAAGGGAAGAACATGTATTTGAGCTCCAATATAATGCTGTAAATTATTACATAGGATAGGGTCAGGTAGAACTTTTTTCTGGATCTGATATCAGAGTGAGTTATGGGAAATGAGGCAGGTGGTACAAATCTGTTACACTCTAGTCAATTTGTAGTCCCAAAGACTCTGTTCACCACATACTTACCCATTCTAATCAAATGACTGGGGTGAACTGGGCTTATAATCCACAAATCAACTCATAACAGCTCATTGCTATCACATGACCTGGGAAGACATCTGGGTTCAAGTTATAGAACTTGTGCAAATACTGACCTCACAGGATGCCACAGGCAAGATAAGCCATCTCTCGCCCAAAGTGACTTTTCATTTCTCATCAGAGCAATCTTTCTCCTTCACATGCTTCACATATCTTTCTCGCTTTCCCTCTCTGAAAACCTTCCTCTCTACTTTTCTCACTAGATTCTGGATCCCACTCCCTGCTGCTTAATGAATAACTTTTCCCCAGTTCATTGGTTCTCAAACATCTGGGGCTCAAGACCCTTTATATTTTTAAAAATTATCGGATCCAAAAGAGCTTTTTTTGTATATGCGGGTTACATCTATTTATATTTACCATGTTAGAAAATAAAACAGAATATTTTTAGTATTTATTTATTAATTCAGATATAACAATAAACTCATTACATATATTTTATAAAAATAACTAGTTTCTAAAACAAAAAAAAAAAAACCAGAAGAGCAGCACTGTCTTACAGTTTTGCAGATCTCTTTTGTGTGTAGATTAATAGGAGACAGCTAGATTCTCATATTTGCCTCTGTATTCAATCTGTTCAATATGTTGTTTTGGTTGAAGTATTTGAAAAAAATCCAGCTTCACGGAGACATGTTATTGCAAAAGGGAATATTTTAAGAGCCCATTTAGATCGCTGTGCATGTTCTTCTTTAATACTACACTAAAACTCAACAAGTGAAGTTTCTTAAAGGTTAGTTGCAAAGTGAAATCTAAAACCCTATCTAAGAATGTTTCATACTCTGTAAAGTTAACCATTGGTCTATCTTGCACTTTGAATGGCTTTTATCCCTGCATAATTTTGTAACATCCTATACTGGAAAATACTGGTTCACTGAACCATGCAAATCTTCCCAACATTGACACATTTCATTCTTCAATATTAAAAAAAACCTACCTACACATTCATTAGTATCACTACCAATATTATCAAAAAAATCATTTATGTATTGAGAAGCTAGCAAACTCAGAGTAGCAGATACAGACTTTCCAAACTGCTAATTTTCAAATGAAAGCTCAAATTTTATCATTGACAATGAACACTGATAGTTGTTTTCCTTAAAGTGATAGGCTTTTACTTCATTCATTTTCAAGAAAATATCTATGAAATACCCAAGTCTGAATACCACAGCTTTTCTGGCAGTCATTCTTTCAAGTAAAAATAATATTCCATGATAAAAGCAGTTCATAACCCAATTGCCTAAGGGCTTTTCCTCAAGAAAACTCCAGTGTACATCAGAAGTACTTAATACGTATTTCCAATTTTGTCACACAAAACATGAAAAAGATATTCTTAAATGGAATTCCCCATTACAACTATGTGACAATGATGACTACAATAACTAATAGTATAATTTGGTGCCTCCATCTTGATTTGTACTAAGGCACCTGCAGTTTTACCTACCCGTTGCTTTGTATCACTAGTATAAATGTCAACTCAGTGAAAAGGGCAAAGAAACATCACAATAGCCAAGAGGTAGAAGCAACATAAATATCCACGGACAGATGAATAAACAAAATGTGGTGTATACATAAAATGGAATATTATTCAGCCTTAAGAGAGAAGGAAACTTAGTCATATGCTACAATATCGGTGAACCTTGAGGATATCATGCTAAGTAAAACAAGCCAGTCACAGAAAGACAAATACTGTATGAGAGTAAAACAGCCATATTCATCAAAAGAGAAAACAGAAGAGTAGCTACCAGGGGTTGGCGTGGAGAGGGAAAAAAGGGGAGCTGTTGTTCAATGGGCACAGAATTCAGATTTGCAAGATGAACAACTTCTGGAGATTGGTTGAATAACAATGGGAATATAGTTAACACTACTGAACTGTATACTTAAAAGTGGTTGAGATGGTAAATTTTATGTTATGTGTTTCTTAGCAATTAAAAAAAGAGCAAATAACATCTTAGTAGGTATTATGAAAACAGTTTTGACCTAATTTTGACCTCACAAACCCCATGAAAGGGTCTCAGGAACTCACAAGGGTCAGTAAACACTTTGACAACCACTGCTCTAATGTGACCTTCTTTCTCTCTGGAACATCCATCTGCTTCTCTACCTATCTCTCCCCCTTCCTTTCTTTGACGTGGCTTCCCAGTTCTTAAAAAGCCTCCACTCAAGAATGCCAACTCTTGTAATATTCACAATGATTTGAAAAGGCCTCCTCCTTCTGTTTTAAAATGTGGAGTGTTGTTATTCCCTTTAAGCAGTTTGTTTATATTCCAGTTTGAGCCCCTGAGCCTTCTTTCATATTTGTTTGTTCCGCCTCTGCCCTTCTCAAGCGCAAATACCGTATCTTCAGGATCCCCAAACTGTCACAGTGTTCCTCACATTTCTCTCATATGTATCAACCAATACCGACTGGTTAGGTCCTAGGGCTCACAATACAGAGCTGTGCGTTTGTGGTTAACTCCTCTATGTCTTTGTTAGCTGTCCAGCTATATACATACACAATTGGTCTCCTCAGAAAGTTCCAATGGCTTTTCA